AGACCTTGTCCTCTCTCCAGGACCACTGATCAGTCTCCTTTCCTGGCCTCCCAGTCTCCCATCTTGCCCTGACATGGATCCCTGAGTGATCTTCCTAACTTGACATCTGGTCCTGGCCCTCCCCTGATCAAAGGCCTTCCATGGCTCCCGTCATCCCCAGAAGAAAGTCCGGTGTTCTAACCTGACATCTGAAGTCTTACCTTGTCTCACATCACCCCACTGCTTGCAGCTCTATCAGGAGTTGGGCCTTTGTTTTTTAATCCTCACCCGAGGATATTTTTCCATTTTTTTTGTTCAGATAGAGCGGGAGGGAGAGAGAGGAAGGGAGAGAGAGAGAGAAACATCGACGTGAAGGGACACATCGAGTGGCTGCCACCTGCACAACCAACCAGGGCCGGGGACAAACTGCAACCGAAGTACATACCCTTAGCGGGAACCGAACCCGGGTCTCTCCGGACCGCAGGCCGACGCTCTAACCGCTGAGCCAAACTGGCCAGGGCAGGAGTTGGGCCTTTGTATATGCTTCTCCCTCTGTCTGGAACACATTCTCCCTTCCTACCAGCAAGTTTCCCTATCCCACCCAGGAAGCCTTTCCTGATACCCCTGGCTGGGTTAGGTGCCCCTCTTAGGGGTTCTCGCTTCCATTATAACCTTCATCTGTAGCCAGGTCTGTCTCCCCAGCAGCCGAGGAGGCCCACACGGCAGGGCCTGGGCCTAACTCATCTTGGGGTCCCTCTCTGACATTGCCCAGCACAGAGCCTGGCGCTGAGCAAGGGTTCAGGAAATGCTGGATGAAGGAATGAGGAAACGCACAGAAGACAGACTAATGAAGTTGTTGGCTCTCTCTCAGGCTCTGACAAGAGCCCCAGAGAACTTCACAACAGACCAGAGCCATAGTCTGGGAAACGAAGAAGAACCATTCAGCTACACCAGACAAGAACTCCCAGTCTTACCAGCCTCAACCAAACTATAAAGCTCAAAACAAGTACATCTTTGTTAAGTGTCTGCAGAAGCAGGCTCACCATCTGCCTTCCCCAAGTTCCTCCCTAAGTTCAAGGTCTCCTGTTTCCACCCAGCATGGGCCCAACCCCATGCCATCCTGAACAGAGATCCAACCACAAAACCCACTGCTTTTCAAAAGCAAAAGCCTCTTATTCAGGAGGATGTTATGAGGACTGAATACAATAAAGCATGAATGTGGTACAAAAGTAAGTGTTTCAGTGGCTTATTTCTTTAATAGTCAGGGCAACATGTTGGTTCTTGGAAGTGAAAGGCTTTGGGAACAATGGAAGATGAAGGGAGACTATGGAAGTCTCCCAGACTCCTCCCTTCCCCAACATCCAACCAGTTGGTCCCCAAGTTTCATTGGTGGAACTTCACAAACATCTCTCAGTGCTCTCCATGCCTTTCTACCTCTTTAGTTCCTGCTCCAGACAGAACTCATCCTCTCCTGCAAGACTAGCACACCAAATCCCCAGTCCGCGCCCATGCAGCTTGAGAGTGAAGCCCCACTCCTGCCCAAAATCCCTCTGTGGCTCCCTTCAATCCCAAGAGCAAAGCCAAGCTGCTCGGCATGACATTCAAGGCCCCTCTTCCCCTGTTTCTAGTGCCCTCCTCATTTCCCAGCCAACAGTCTAGCCAGACCAGACCAACCTATACATGGCTCCTAAGACACACCAACCTCTCTTTTGTCTTCACAGAGGCTGTTCCCTTTTCTCACCCAGTAAACTCCTATGCATGCTTCAGAACCCCGTTCCAGTAGCTTTTCCTCTGTGAGCCCCCCAGCAGTGTCCTCTCACTCCCTTACAGGCTCCTCTACCCAACCCTGTACCTCCTTCTGTCTCAGACCTGGGCACACTGTGTCCCCAACCAGGCTGGGGCTTTTCAAGGCCAGAGGATTATTATTATTATTATTGTTTTATCCTCACCCAAGGACATTTTTCGATATTTTGTTCAGATAGAGTGGGAGGGAGAGAAAGAGAGAAACATCGACATGAAAGCGACACATCGAGTGGTTGCCACCCACACGACCCAACCAGGGCTGGGGACAAACTGCAACCAAGGCACATGCCCTTAGCGGGAACCGAACCCAGGTCTCTCCTGACTGCAGGCCGACGCTCTAACCGCTGAGCCAAACCGGCCAGGGCCAGAGGATTATTTATACCCCTAACACATACACACACTTCCCATTCTGTTCTCACCCAAAGACAGAAATGGCCCCCAAAGCTGGGGATAGACACGCATGCCTAAGAAACATGCTTCATCCATACCCCATACAACAACCATAAATAACACATTAAACATAAATTAGATCATGTCCTTCCCCTGTTTAAAACCCCTGCATGGCTCCCCAATGCCCTGGGATAAAGACCAAGCTCCATAGCCCGCAAAGGGAGGTTCTGCATGATCCAGGCCTTGTCACACCTCTGGCCTTTGCCCAGGACCTCCTCTAGGGGACCCCCACCTCTCCTTGGAGGCCAGTTCCTATATCCACTGCCAAGTGAGGCCTTCCTGGACTTCTCTTCCACCTCCCTATTACCCTCAGGAAACAGCTCAAAATCACAAGATCCTGCATTCTCTGCCTCCTCTCAACCCTCAGCTTCTGGCTCATGGTTTATCTTGGGGTATTGTGTTCTAGTACACTGCACTTCTACTTCCTCAAAAGCACCATACCCTCCTGCATCCAGGCCTTTGTATGAGCTGTTCTCCTTACCTGGAATGCTCTTGTGTTCCTTCCTACACATGCCTCTGGTCTCAGCTATCACCCAAGCTAAGTCAGACATTTTCTCTGGGCTTCCCACTATTTAGGAGTGAGTTTGTTTCCTCCACTGGACTGGAAGCCCACGAGGGTAAGGCTGGGCCCTTGCACAGGCTGATCCCTCTTCCTGGATTGCTTGCTCTTCTTCTTCCTCCTGGCTGATTCCTATTGGTACTTTAGGTCTCAGCTCAGACATCTCCTCCAGGAAGTCCTCTCTGCTCACACTGGTCCCCAGGTGCAGAGGCACCTCCTCTGGGATCCCTCTCACCTGTGGGGTTCCTCTATCACAGTACAACTCTGGACCACCGCTCTCTATTAATGTGTTTGTCTCCTTCACTGGATCCCAAGCCTCAAGTCATTGGGAACTGCTGGGACTGCCTTAGTCTCTGCTATGTCCCAGTAGCAAATATAGCATCTGGCACATGAATGATTGCAAATATACTTTTATTGAAGTACTTTAAAATCTAATGCTAATACCATGTACTGAACGTTTACTATTTGCCAGGCACGATGAAAACCTGTTGTCATTTCATTCCAACGACCCTCTGAAATGAGTACTATTATTATCCCCACTTGGGGGAGGGGAAGCAACCTCAGAAAAAGGAAGCCACCTTCCCCAATTCACTAAGGTAGTTGGAAATGGAACCAAAATTTAAAGCAACATGATTGGGATCAGAGCCCGAGATTCTTTCTAACACTCAGAATATCCCCTCATTGATGCTCCTAGCTTGTAACTGTCCATCTGAGTCTGGATGCAACTCCTCCACCAGACTTCAAGGCCTTGCAGGGCAGGGCCCGGGCGAGCTGTATTTGACAGCAAAGGGGCTGGATCAGAACCGGGCTCTGGGAATGTGGTGAATGGATGAATGAGTGCACAAATGAATGAATCAGCAAACGTCTGGGTGTGTGACCCACCCCACCCCACTCACCCTCGATGAGCCACTCGCAATTGCCATTGACGCTGTAGTTGCCCGCACCATCCGTCACGAAGCCTGGGGCCTCTCGCAGCACTTGCCGCTGACCCTTGCAGTCCCCTGCCCGGGCCCCAGGGCACAGCGGCCCCAGCACCGCCAAAGATAGAGCCAGTGCGGCAGCCAGAGCCTGGCCCAGGGCCATCGCCACCTCCGGCACTGACCCTTACAGACAGCGCGGACCCTCCACCGGTGTGAGGCCCTGAAAATGCGACCTCTATGGATGGAACATGGCCTTGTAGACCGGGGAGGTCCAGGAGTTGCAGTCCCCACGAAGGGAACCGCCGCTGTTGACGGGCTCTGGAAGTCGAGGGATGGGCCCTATAGACCCATGATAGGCCCTGCAAATGGGGTTGCTACGGACGGGGCCGACCCCCAGGGACCGTGGAAGTCCCTTATAAACACAGGCCCCCATAGGATAGCTGACCCCATACACGGTGTCCAGCAATTACAGCCGCGGACCGCTGCAGGCCGAAACGGACCTTAGAGATGGGGGGGTCTCCCGCGGGCGAGAGGCCCTACAGCCGGGCGAGGGCCTCCATAGAGGGTGCGGGTTGGGCCGGGATGGCCAGGATAGGGTTGGAGAGACTCCAGCCAGTGGCGGAGCCCGCCCTCACGCCTCGGGCCTGGACCGCGAAGATCCACTCCCTCGCTCACCCACCCGCGCTTCCCTCCAGCGCTGGATAGGCCAGATCACAGAGACGAGGGGACGCTCGGGCCAGAGCGGCCCCGGGAAGACCGCTGGGTGGGCGAGGGGGCGGGGCCGAGCGGCCGCTGTGGGAGGATTGGGACTGGGAGAGGAGGCGAGAAGCCGCGGAGCCGTAGGTCAGAGGGGCCATGGGAGGACTGCGGAACACCAAACCCTACCCCCCCTCCCACAAAGGGAGACTTCCGGAAACTTCCCCGCCCATTTGTCCCAGACGCATGCGCAGCATTGATCGTTTTCTCCAGCGAAAAGCAAGAATCGCACATGCGCAATGGTAAAATCGTAATCCAAAATCAGGGTGCAGCTGGCTGAGCAAAGTGTGTGCCACTGGAGGGCGCCTATACCTCTGACTGAGGAAGAGAAGGTAAAAATAAGGGTGCGGTGCTGTAAGAGGACTAGATAATTCATATCTTCAGTGCGCTTAGATTCTGGGTCAACATGAAGGTCAGGTTATGCAGGACTCTCCCAAAATGCCATTTCACAGATGGACACACTAAGGTCCAGAGCCTGGAACGGTTCTTGCTCAGCCCCGTCTCTGAGCACCATCAATGTAAAAGAGGCCATCTTATAGATAAAAACAACGAATCCTCTTTATTTTGGCAAGAAGGGAAAAAAGTCTTTCTACCGGGGACCTGAGGGAGGGCCCCGGGATGTAGATGGGGATGGACAGAGCACGGGTCTGAGGTCACAGAGATCCAAGGGAAGTTTTCAGAGTAGAGACCAGCTTCACAATATCCGTCCCGGGAGCAGTGGCTCGGGGTCGCGGAGTCCTCCTGGAGCGTCCCACGGGCAGGGTCCTGGCGATCCTCACTGGTGTCCCGGGGTCCGGCAGGGTCAGAGGTCTCGGAGGGGGCCAGGGGGCCGGAGGTCACGGAACAGCGGGAGCCCAGAATCCGGCGCCGCTCGGGGCAGGGGCTGAGGGAGGGGACGGGGAGAGCGGCTCCCGCGGGACCGTTTGGCACAAGAGTCGGGGGCAGGGAAGAAGTGGGACACCGCGCACCCCTACCTGGGAGCGCGGGGTGGGGAGGGTCGGGAAGGCCTGGGATGGCCGAGCCCTGGGGCTGGGATAGAGCAGGGGTCCGGAGCCCGGCCGGGGCCCGGCGCGCGGCCCAGGGGGCAGGGGCGGGCAGGGGTGTCAGACCGGGGGTGCGGTGCCCCCGGCCGTGCGCATGCTGAAGTATTCGGTGAAGCCGGAGTGCGGCGACGCCGTCTGGGGCACGAGCGGCTGGTAGGGCGGCGTCGGGCCATCCCAACTCGGGTCGGCCGCCTTGGCGAACCGAGCGGGAGGGGGCGGGGAGGCCGCGCCGGGCTCGGCCATGGTCACCACGCGGCCCCTCGGGGCCACCGCCGCCGCCACCGCCGTCTCCTCCACCTGCTTCCCGGCCTGGGAGGGGGGTCAGGGTCAGAGGCCGTCCGGGACCCACGGGGGGCAGATGCGGCCCCGAAGGCCCGTCCCCCTCCCCCCGGAGTATCCCCCTCCCAAGGTGTGGGCGCCTGTGTCAGTCAAGGTAGGAGCGGGTGGTGGGGCGCCTGGGCAGCGGGGCCAGATACTCAAGGGGTGGCGTCGGGGCGCGCGGGGCGAACTCCGGCGGCGGCCGGGGAAGCGGGGGAGAGCTGCGGAAGGCGAGCGGCGGGGGCACGGCGAGTGAAGGGGGCACGGCGCGCGGTGTCTGCGGGGGCGTGCGCAACAGCGCCAAAACCCAGTCGGGCAGGGTAGGCGCGGGCGCCGGGGGACGGTCGCGACGCGGCATCGGCGCGCGGGGGGTGCGAAAGGCTGGGGGTGGGCTCAGGCGCCTGGGTGCGGGGGGCGGCGGCGGGGCCGGGAGCGGGGTCAGGTACTCCAGGGGCGGCGCCAGCAGCTCCTCGGGCGCCGGGAGCGCGGGGCTTACGGAGGAGGCGGGCGGGGGGATGGAGAAGAGCTCCGTGAAGTTGGGCACCGAGTCGCTGATGAACGTCACGTTCCCATAGACGTGCTGCGGGAAGGCCTTGTCTGCCGATTCGCTCCCTCCCGGGCCGGGGGCACCAGCCGAGGCGATCTGCGATGTGCGCACGTGGTAGGGAAAGTTCTTGTTGGCCGCTGAGGGGCGTGTCATGATCTGGGGCAAGGGGCCAGGTGCAGGTTGAAGATGTACTGTCCAGACCTCAGGCTGTCTCCATAAACATGGAGTACTAAGGATTTCCCTGTACTGGGAATCCCCCACACTTCCTTGCAACACTTCAAACGGGATTACGCACCTCCTGTGGGCTTTCACAGTGCCCTGGACTCTTGACCTTTTTCCTCCACCCCTACTCATGACTGCTGACGCTTCCTCTATCAGAGCCCTGATCGCTGACTTGTCACTGACTAGGTAAGCTTCAACGTCCTGCGCTGTGCACTATGATAGCCACTAGCCAGCCACATGTGGCTATTTAAATTTAAGTTAATTAAAATTAAACTAATTTTTTTGTTTCTGTTACACTAGCCATATTTAAGTGCTCAATGGGCATATATGGATAGTAGCTATCATATTGGACAGCAAAAATCATAGAATAGTTTCATGAACACAGAAAGTTCAATTGAACTAATAGACTCTAGACTCTTTGCTCCATGAGGGCAGGAACTTGACTGTTCTGTTCCCTGCTGAATCCCCAATACCTTCTAGAACAGTATCTGGCACATAAGAGCTTTCAATAAATATTGGTTGAATGTAGAGATGTCTCCCCAACTAGTTTGGTAGAAAGGCACGCACTGGGTGTGACTCTCATACTGCACCCAGGAGCCCAGCATGGCCCCTCTAAGGTTGTGCTCAATGTGAATACGGAGCTGAAACCAATCAGCAGTAGAATGTCAGCAGTGGAGCTCTGCTAGCTAACGTGAGCATTTTTAGGAATGAAACTGGCTAAAGGTGAAATATAGAAGAAAAGGCATAGCGTTTGGCTTTCTGATACTGCACCCCACCTCTCAGCCCCACAGCTCACTGAGTGTGGGATCTGGGGCACATTGATTAAACTCCCCACACCTCACTGGCGAAAAGGAATTACAGTGCCTACTCAGAAAAATGAGAAAAGATGGAAATGAGAACTGCTGGTGCAGAGCTTGGCAGATGGTGGGTTCTCAGCATTTCTCCTCTCTCTGCCCATTTCTGACTTCCTGCAGAGCCTAAAGATGGACCATCCCAGGAAGGTGGGTCTGCACCTTAGTCAGGCTTTGGGGTAGCAGGTAGGGGACCTGGTGCCCTCCCTCTGCTGAGTACTTCTACACAGAGCTCATGGTAGACCCCTGAGATCAGGAGCTGGGGTCTTCAGTGATGCCTGTTTCCTCTTCATGCTAGATCATGTGGTCTGCTGGAGAAGGACCGGGTTCAAAGTCCCTGCCCTGCCACCAAAGGCTTTGGAGTCCTGGCAGGTCACCTCCGTTCTCTGGGACCTAGCTTCCTTTCCCTGAATAGTGGATCCAATGACCATTATCCATTCTGTCCTGGAGCTGCTTTGACACTTAAAAGTGTAGGGATAAATGAATATGGGTGTCCCCAGCGTGAAATAGGCTGATTTGAGACCGGTGCCCACTGAATGGTGGATGGATGGACAGTGGGTGGATTGATGAATTTATATGAGAACTCACACCCGGAAGGCTGGATAGGATATAAACCAGAGCAAAGAGGAGGTCTGCTGCTGATACCCTCCTGATGCCATTAAGGTCTAGAGCCCCAGCCTGGCCCACCCCAGCTGCTTCTTCCCAAACAATGACCTGTGATGGAGTGGCAGATGTGGGAGAGTGTGTGGGTGAAGGGTGGAGTAGAGACCAAGAGGACTGGGGGAGGCAGTGGGGATACAGAAGGGAAATTTGAGAATCTGGGGACACAGGGTCAGGACTGGGAATGGGGAGGGGGCAAAGAAAGAGGATGGGTTGGGGGAAGAGACCAGATACAGGGTGGGAGAGAGGAACAGAAGAGAGTGGAGCCTGGGGGATACAGCAGAGTAGCCTGCAGGAACCCAGCAGACTCAATAAGTGTCTATTGAATGACTGAAGGGATGAAGTGAAGAAAATGGATCAAGAGTTCAGAACACAAGGTTCAGGCAAATCGGGGTGGGAACCTCATGCATCCTCTGTCTATCGGTTTCCCACCCCACCAGATGCCCATCCTCACCAGGAACACGCCATGGGCATACAAATGGATCCCCAGCTGGATGCCATTGACAATCTTCTCCCGAGCCCACTTGGGGATCCCAAAGTTGGCGATCAGGGCCATGACAGGAACTGCAAAGAACCTGAAGGGGAGGAAATGGATCGGTAGAGACAGTGCCCCATGCCCTCCACCCACCCCCTGACCCCAGTTCCCCTGCCAGACACACACACAGGCCCCAGGTGGGTCCCAAACTGGAGGGAAGCTGTGTGACCTTCAGAAATCAGAGGTTAAAAGGGGGCATGATTTTCACTGGCCTGGGAAATTCTAGGGACAAGGACTAAGTTGAATTGCACTCAGTTTCACCCCACCCCACATCCCAGCACCTGATAGGAAAATCAATAGATATTTGATGAATGAATTAACATATGATAATAACAACTAAGAACCTACTGCATGCCAGATCTGTTTCTAAGCATTTTACATACATAAACTCATTGAATTCTCACAGTGACTCTGTGAGGCAGGTACAATTTCCACCTCCATTAAACAAATGAGGGAAATGAGGCAGAAGTTAATTGACTTGTGTGAGGTCACACAGGGACACATTGGAGGCCCAGCACATCTCACCAGAGGGTGTAGGCAGCAAAGAAGGGCACATAAAAGGGCTGCTTCTCCGGGAAATGGCGCAAAGAGACAAGCACGGCGTAGCAGAACCACACGTAAGCCGCCACCTGCAGCCCGATGAGCCCGTAGCCTGCTGGCGACTCATACGTGTACAGTACCTGGCCTGGGTCAAAGAACTGACCCAAGGAAGAGGGTTCGTCATAGCCCTGGCTTCTTGCCCTCCTGCCCTCCACACAGGGACCCCAGACCACATCCCTGGGTACCCAGGGGACAGAGGTACTTGGTCAGGACAGAAGCAGCAGAAGAGTGAGGGATGGAGACAGAAGCATGTAGAGGTAGAGAGAGAGGGTGACAAAGACAGGAAGAGAATACATCTGCTATCATGGGCCCAAAAGGGGTAAACACTGCCATGTGGAAGTTTTCCATTTGTATCAACTCCATGAAGTAGGTCTTATGATCACCCCACTTCACAGAGGGGGAAACAGACTAAGGGAGATGCCTTCTGGCTGAAGCCAAAGCCAAGGTACTACAAAGTGTTAGAGGAACCCCTGAAGTAGGTAAGACCTTCCTAATTTTACAAAGGACAAAATAGGCGCAAAGAGGGGGGCCGTCTCCTGAGGTCAGCCAGCTGGGAGGTGGGTGGGTCGGAGTGGAATCCAGATGTGTGAGTCCTGATCTCTTGGTCATGACGCTGAACCTAAATGTGACAGACAGTGAGACGGGGGAAAGGGAGAAGCTACTCAGCAGAGAGAGGAGGAATGCACTTAGAAAGACAGGTGGGAAGGTAGGAAATCAGAGTGAGAGAGAGAGAGCCAGGAGTGCGATGTGGAGAAGGGCTAGCAGACAGGAAGAGGGAGCCAGGAAAGCTTTGGTGGGGTGGGGCAGGGCCAAGCAGTGGCGGGTGGGACTCACCTTGGCCTCATAGATGAGCAGCACCACATGGGTAAGAGTGTACAGGGTCATGTAGACAGACAGCTTCACGGAGCCTGAGTGGCTGATGCGGCCCCTGGCAACAGGCCATGAGGGGAGATGGCAGGGGTGGGGCTGTCAGGGAGGAGGGGTGGCCGCCCCCCACACCTGCCCCACCCCCTAACCCAGCCACCCCCATCCCCAGTACTCCATCCCAACCCAGCCTGGGCACCGTGTCACTGTGAATCCCTTCCCCAGAAGGATGAGCATCAGCAGGAAGATGAGGAAGCTGGAGGAGAAGAGCAGCTTGGCTGGGAGAAGGGAGGAGAGGGCGGCTCAGACACAGTGGCAGAGGAGCCCAAGCACCTGCCCTGGCCCCCATCATTCTCACCCAAGATCTTCAGACTCTCGTTGCCAATACCATCAGTGGCATACTGGCCCCAGTAGATGCAGAAAAACAGGAGACTCAAAACTGAGGGGAGCATGGGCAGAGAAAGGAAAGGACAGAAACTGGCTTTGAGGCATCACTGATCCCTAGCGCTATGATCCAGGTGACCTGAACCCTCTTCCACCCCCAACAGGATTATAGACCGATCATGGAGACCCAGGAATCCAGGCCCCCAGCCTCCTCCCTCAGTCCAGATTTCCAGCCCCTTCTCCTTCAGGCCTAGATGTCTGAGCCCCAGGTCCAAGTGGTTTGCCCTCCTCTCATAGAACTCAAAAGTTAAGATGCTCTAAACCTCACCTTCCACTCCGGCTGCAGCCATAAACATTTTATAAGTCGTGTGGAGCAACTGACGACCTTTCAGCAAATCTAGAAGGGGATAAGGGAAGACTGTTCACAGACAGGAAGGGAGAGCAGCTCATCTCCCCCAACCTTGCCCCTCGGTATCTCCCCCAACTACGTGATGGACTCACATCCAAAGTAACAGGAGAGGATGAAGATGAGGATGAAGATGAGGAGGAAAGTCACATCTGTCTCCAGGATCCCTGCCAATTTGGTAGAAGGAGAAAATGGTTCGGTCAGGCTGGTGTCCCTCAGCAGCCACCCAGCTCCGGGCTCCCTCAAAGATCCTGGCTTTTAGGTTTCCATGTGCTCACCAAACTCATCAGCAGAGAAATGCCGCGTCCAGAAGGACTTGCCATTGGTGAGGACCATCTCGTACTCCAGCTGCAGCCCATCTCCCTGTAGGGAGGGTGGAGGCCTGAGGAAGGGCCCTAGGCAGGTAGGGGATTGGCAGGAAAGTAAGGAGAAAAAGACCTAGGTGGCCAGGACAGCCCCTTACCCCACACTTGCTGAGCGCAATGTACCACCACCTTTCACGCACTGAGCGGAAACTGCGGCCACTGGAGCAGCTCAGGTAGCGAGTTCCCTCCTCTGACACCACCTGGGACAAGCGAGAAGACTGAAGCCTGTCTGCACTGTCCTCAAGCCTTTGACCTTCAGCACCTGCCCACTCCCCCCAGGCTGGGCCCTTACCTGACAGCCTGACCAGGCATACTGGGTGGTGAGGTTGATGACCTGGTTGTTCTCAGGCCTGATCACTGACTCCTTGGCCAGGCAGTCCTGGGGAAGGCAGGGCCACAGTCACTCCCTGGCTAGCCTCAGCCTTCCCCTCCCATCCACCCTTGTCACAGCCCTCACCTTGTCCCCTGCCTTGTACACAGCTGGCCACTGGGATGGGTCATCGAAATAGAGGAGGATGTTCTGACAGCACTTGGCCTGTAGGCCCAGAGATTTTGAGGTTTGGAGGAGTGTGGGAGCTGGGGTAGCCCTTGCCTCAGGAGACCAGGGATCATCCAGCCTCAGTGTAGGAGTGATTGGGAAAGGCTCACCTCAGGGTATCGGAAACGGAAGTCCAATCGTCCGTAATCCGAGAGGAAGCAAAATCTTGTCAGGAACACCCAGTCCTGGAAAAGGGCCCCAGTCAGCACCTCTTCCCAGCCCTTCGGGAACTCTCCTCTACTTCACAGACCTTCAACTTTTATTCCCTACCCTCAGTACCTGGTTTCCCATGAAGTGTAAGGGGAACAAGTCACATCCAAAATTATTCCGTGGTCCCTTCACCTTGACTCCAGGATTCCTTTCTCAGGTACCCCCACCCCTCAAGCACTTTTCCCATGCACCCTAAGAAAGACCCTGGAGGGCCAGATCCCCATCCTGGCCACCTTCTGTCCAGACACCATCGGACCGACATCCCCCCAGTTATCCACACACCGCCCCCTGTTCCAGAGACCACCCTGTGCTGAGCACATTTCCAAATGGCTCTCTCGCGGTCCTGAGCCAGTGCATGAACTCCACGCTCTCCGCGGAGTAAAAAGTGCTGTCCCTTCAGCACCACCTCGGCGTCCCCCGGCCCCCCAAACTCCGACTCTCCACCCCGCCCAGCTCTGACCTCAATGTCCCTCCTACAACCGCCGAATCTCGAGTCTCGTCTCGACCCCACGCTCCCCCTCAGCCTCAACCCTTATCCAGCCCCTCTGGCCCCAGCCCACTCCCCCCGGCTCCGAGGGTCTGCCTGAGCAGGGCGGCAGGGGGCGGGGCAGCCCGTTCCCCTCCCCTCCTCTCCCTCTCTCCCTCTCTCCCTCTCCCCGGGGGCCCGGCGGGTGGCAGGGGAAGGCCCCACACGCTCACCTCTTTGGAGCTGAGGTTGCCCCGCACGTACTTGGCCCGGGCGCGGGGTGGCAGTGGCAGCAGCAGGAGCAGCAGCGGCGGCAGCAGGCGGCGCAGAGCGGGCGCGCGCGGGGGCTCCATTCCGCCCGCTCTGGCCCCGGCCCCGGCTCTGCTCCGCTCCGGCTCCCGCTCCGGCCCGGCGACGGCGGCGAGAGCGAGCAGGCCGGCCGGCGCGCGCCCCCGATTAAAGGGGCCGCTGGGCGCTGCAGTCCCCACCCCCTCCTTCGGGATGGCCCGGTTGGACCCCTTTCCAAACCGCGTGGGAGGAGAGGCCCCTTCCCCACCCTCTCTACCCTGCCCCAGCCCCAGTCCTCTTCTCTGGGAGTCTCGGTGATACCTCTTGGCTCCCCATGTCCTGAACTGAACTCACATTCCCACAAGCCCTGCCTCTCCAGACTACCATCTCCGGAGGACCCACAGCTCCCAGACCCCCACTCAGTCCTGATCTCCCTCAGTTTAGTTCTCAAACTGCTCTTGATTGCGCATCCCAGCCCCTATGCCAGCCATCCCCCACTGGGTCCAGCCAGGTGCCATCCATCCGCACCTCTTGCACTCTGAGAAGTTCCCACAGACACAAAGAGGGCAAACCACTTGTTCTGGGTCACACAACACGGAAGTGGCAGAAAGAGACCTCAACCTCAACCACTGTAACCCCCTTCCTGATCCTGTCCTGTGACTGCTTACCAAGGTGTTCAACGGGGTTGCTGTGAAGCCGAAGTGTTATGAATCTAGCAGATTCTGAAGTAAGTTGCCTGGGTTCGCATCGCAGTATTACCACTTTCTCCCCATAAGACCTCAGCCAAGTCACAGCCTTGTGATCTGGTGCAGTCCCCTCCATGCTGGTACCAACCCTAGATCCCCAGTGGCAATGGGGAACCCTGAAAAAGCTTTCCGGAGTAGCATCCAAGCCACTCAACTAAGTTTTCCTCATCAGATTTCAAAACATTTCTAGTTTCATCCCTCCCTCTGCACTGCAGAAAATTTGCTGCTCTGCAAAATACCACTTTTTAAAACTGTCTAAACCACCCCAGCTGGTGTTGCTCAGTGGTTGAGCATCGACCCATGTACCAAGAGGTCGCTGGTTCTATTCCCAGTCAGGGCACATGCCCAGGTTGTGGGCCTGATCCCCAGTGAGGGGCATGCAGGAGGCGGCCAATGTTCCCTCTCATTGATGTTTCTATCTCTCTCTCCTTTTTCCTTCCTCCCTCTCTAAAACCAATAAAGAACAACAACAACAAAAAACAACAACAAAAAAACCACTGTCTAAACCAAGGGGCCAAGCAGGAAATGTAAGTGTGTGAAGCATTTCCAAGGGATAGTGTGGGTCCCATGAAAAGGGGCCTCTGCTACTCTGCTTGAGCCAGTAGTTGCAAGGAGGAATAGTAGGTGGGATGCCAGATCATTTTCCATTTTTCTTTTTTTAGAAGCCAGAAATGCAATTTTTTTTTTTTAAAGAAAACTGTATGATATGTAACAGTAGGCAACTGATTAATTTTAAACATATCACGGGCCAAAGAAAAGTCTGTGGGTCAGATTCAGGCCTCATCTGCCACTCCTGCACACACACTGTTCCTGTGTCCAGCCGACCAGGAGCAGCTCTGTGGCAGGGCCCAGATGTGGCTCACTCTAGATCTCAGCATGGCACACAGATACAGGCTGAATAAAAATGGTCCCGTATCTCCTATTCACCCTCTCCAGGCCTTACACATGCTGTTCCTCTTGCCTCAAATGTTCTTTTCCTTCTCTACTAGCAAGTTTCTACCAATCTTGAGAAACACAAGGGTCTGTGTCAGCTCCACTTTGAATACCTTCTTCATCATTGGGGCAGTCATCACTCCCTCCTCAGATTCCCCCCAACTCTACCTTTCTCTCCCAGAGGCAAGCACTAGGGCTGGGACTGTCTGTACCCACTGCTGGACTGGAGTCTCCTGGGACAGAACCTATTTCACTCACTCTGGGGCCCCAGAATCGCCAGAGCTCAGAATCTAGCACATAGCTGACCTCAGTAGGTAGATGTGTTGAACTGACTAAAGCCCCTGTTTTTTTCAGTCTGCAGGTCCCTCGGGCCAGGCCCTAGGAAGACAAGTGATAGTACCTTCCCCTCAGAAACTAGAGCTAAGGGAAGCGCTCTCCTGAGTCAGTCACTCACTGAAAATCAAGAAGACCATGAAGAAGGTACTTTATTGAGGTGATCGGGAGTGCTGCCGCTAGTGCAGCATTAACTCCTTAGTACAGTCTCATGGGTGGAAAGGACCAGGCCTCAGGGCTGCTCTGGGCCACTGCCCAGGAGAGGCTGGGCAGTGGGGCAGGGGGGCTGGGACTCCAGTCCAGGGCAGAGGTTCGGGGCAACAAGGGGGATGGCAGCTCAGGCAGAAGCTGTGGTGTACTGACCTCACAGGGCCAGGGAGGGGGTGGTGTGGCTACCAGCCAGATGCTTTTCAGCAGGTCAAAGGCTGTTGGGGGGCCCCAGGCTGCTGCAGATGGCGAAGGCAATGTAGGTGGCCAAGAAGCTTTCGGTGGTGCCAGGCTCACCCTGTGTGTGCTGGGAGTGCTGGAGCTGTGAGGCATGGCAAAGGCGAATTCCTTTGTCCCCTGTCTCCTCCTCTGCCTTCCTTCTCCTGGGGCCTGCTCAGGGCTGTTGATCCTTCTTCTCTCAGGGGACCCAGGCTTGGTCCCTGGTATATAGGAAAGAAGCATGGGGAACAGCTGAGTTAAACAGACAAGGGGAAGGGGAGCACAGGGTCAGGAGGTGAGCTCACCTGACAAGGGTGGCTGGCAGCCCCGGAGCACCAAGGTAAGGTCAGGCACACAGCCGTGGCAAGCCTGTAAGGTACCCAGGATGGCATCTCTGGCCTCTTGTACTAGGTTCCTCCTGGGGAAGGCCTGTGGCAGAATCAGCTGGCCCTGCAGGTCCCCCAGCAGCTGCCCCAAGCCAGGGAGGTCTGGGGGACTGGGTGGGCCTGGGCCCGAGTCTCCAAGCACCTGATTCTCCTTGCCCCTTGACTGTGGGGCTGGTTCTTGGGCCCTGCTTGGGCTTGGGGAAGGCTTGGTGGGTAGTGAGGGGGTGCCTGGCTCCAGGGACCCACTGCTAAGCAGTCGTGCCACGTCCAGAGATTTCACCTCATGATTGAAGAGACCCCGGTGCTCCCGGCTTAACCGGCCCTGGGTTATGACCACAAGCTTGGGGGCAGTAGGGACCACAGGATCCTGGAGGTCCATGGGTGGATTCCAACTGGCTACAGGAGGATCCTGATGGGTCAATGGCCGGCGGCTGTCCACCAGGGCTTCATTTCGCTCCCGCCTGGTCTTTCGGCGGCGGACCCGACCAGGTTTCTCAGCCCTCTGGAAAGACTGGGGAGCTGGTCCCCGGGGGTCCATAGTGTCCTAGAAAATAAAGATAGGGTGGTCATCAGCATGAAGATAAATCAGGGACCTAAAAGTGAGTAGTGAGAAGAAGAGATGGTTTGGGGTGAGGTGGGAAACTAGATATGAGAGAGGGATTGGAGAAGACTTGGGTGCTCACTTTGTCAGCACATATACTTTAACTGGAAAAGGCTTGTTCTGGGAAGGAGTCATAGTGATAAGGGTGAGATCAAGGGAGTCATGGTGAGTGGGAAGATTTGTCAGGGAACACAGGGTTACAGGGAACAGGGACATGAGGAAATAGCTAAAAGATGGAGGATGGGAAAGGGATCATGAGACTGCAGGGATCTAGAGAGCCAAAAAGGGATTTTGGACAAAAGAGAAATCCTGGGGTAGAGAAGGTACTGGAGAACACAGGAAGTAGGGAGAGATGGTAGCGAAGGAAAGGCAGGAGAGAGACAGCAGAAGTTGTACAGAGAAAACCTGGAGGACACAGAAAGGGCGACAGGAGAGCGATCAGGGCCTAAGGCCTGGTCACCGGGGTTGGGAGAGTTGGATTGGAGAGGATGCGAGGGTGGGGTGGTCGAGGTAGTAGAGGGGGATACGTTGGTGGGATAAGGGCGGGGGAGGGACACCTCACCTTCTCCTGCTCCAAGGAACCCAGCCCCTGGCCCCCTACCCGCCCACCCCACCTGGCCGTGGGGTGCAATGGCTTCTTTTTCTGAGGTGACCCCAGCTCACTAAGCGCCTGGCGCTCTTCCGGGCCTTAGGCCTCCTGCGCATGTGCGTGTCCCTCCCATGCCCTTTGACTTCCCTGCGTCTTAGAGGCCTGAGGTTCAGAGGCACGTGCCAGGGGCCCAGAATGCCTGTTGCAGCCCCACCCCTCTCAGCCTCACTTTTGGAAACCTCCTATTTGTCCTTAGGCACCTTCCAGCCACCAATTGGCTGTGAGGTCCACTAGGCCCTCCCCTTCCTAAATCTGATTGGTTTAGACGTCTGTAAGCAGACTGTCTGTCTGGAGGGCGTGAAATCAGGCGAGGCACGAGGGGCAGAAGGGCCGGCCAGTCGCGGTGGTCAAAGACTTCCCTTGAGAATCACTATATTGTCACCATTCAGAGCTGGTCTCTGGGGCTAGGTTCAAATGTCCAGACTGGCACATTGGAGCTGTGTGAACTTGGAGAATTGTGTAACTGCTCAGAGCCTTAGTTTCCTAATTTGTAAAATCGGGTTCATAATAGTACCTCCTTCATACGGTTACTGTAAGTATGAGGCGAGCCAACGTCTAACTTAAAATAGCGCTAGGTAGCCCTGGCCAGTTTGGCTCAGCAGTTGGAGCATCGGCCTGTGGACCAGAGAGTCTCGGGTTCAGTTCCTGCTAGGGGCACGTACCAAAAAAAAAAAAAAAATAGCGCTAGGTGAATGAATGCCTCGAAGCCTTCTTTCTCACTAAGCTTTGCTTCAGGAACAGCCTCTCTAACTCTCCAACTTATCTTTCTACACTTGTCCACTCAGACTTTAGAATTAAACTATGCCAGTGAGCTGTATTACTTGTGTAATATTGCTTGGCTAACCTTCATGATCTTTCAAATCCTAACTCAGATACTATTCCTTCTAGGACACCCCCTCGAAATCAGAGTCCTCTTCTGCCTTCTCCTCAGAGGTCCCCAGTTCCTCCCTTAATCACAACTTTGATCCTTCCCTCAGCTCTGTGTCTGGCTCTGTCTCTCCCAACATGCTGGGACAAGGCCAGGATCAGATCCATTCATTTAATATTCATTCAGCAAGTACTTGTGAACTGCCACAGTACCTGGTACTATGAGTCAGGTCCTGTTCCAGGCAAGTGGATTGAGGCAAAACATAAACAATAGTCTCATCTCTGTATCTCAGTATCAACCTGCCTAGAAGGAATGAATAGATAGGAAGGTTCCGCCTGGGAATATGGCCAGGAGTTTTAGGGGGTATGGGACCCCCACACACACATGCACACACACCTGATCCCTGAAGACTAGGAGATCTAGGAAGACTTGAGATCTGAAATTAAGTTGGGGTGGGGGGAGGACCGACCTTAGGTGGCCTTGGCTGTGGATGTAGGTTTCAGAGCCCAGACACACCAGCTGAAGTTATTGGGTTTAGGGAGGGGAGCAGAGGCCACAGATCTGCAAGATGAGCTTCTGGGGAGGTTTGCCAGGCTGGACCTGGGCCTTGTAGCGTCTCTAATTTCCTTACTCGTTCTGCACTTTCTTTTAACCTCTTTGCAGGGACTGTGATGCATGTAATGCAGAGACGTGTGGTTTAGATTTTTATTTCCACAAAACTGATGTTTTTGAGAAGGGGAGGCCTATGAGCAGATAGGCTCTCCAAAGTCCTGGAGCTGCCTTAGAGTGTCTCTCTAAAACTGCGCCTCTAATTTTTTTTAAATGTGTTTTTATTGATTTTAGAGAGTGGAAGGGCGAGGGAGAGACAGAGAAACATTGATGTGAGAAACATCAATGGGCTGCTTCCTGCACGCCCCCTACTGGGAGTGGAGCCCGCAACCCAGGCATGTGCCCTGTCTGGGAATCCAACCGGTGACCTTTTGGTACATGGGAAGGGGGGTTCAACCAACTGAGCCACACAGTCCAGGGTTGAGCATCTAATTTTTACCATTTTCCTTTTCTCTCCCCCACATCAGTAGAAAATGGGATCGTCTCCTCCTAGCAAGGTGCGTATGAGCCACCCCTTCAAGGGATCCAAGAATGGACTTGTCCACTCACTCACCTCCCCCACCACCACGTGAATGACAACACACAGAGGGAGTTGGGGGGAGGTAGAGGGAAAGAGAGAGGAGGAGACGGGGGGCGGGGGGGGAGACAGAGAGAGGGAGAGGAGACAAAGAGAGAATGGGGGAGAAAGAGAGGGGGGAGAGAGAGAGAGAGAAGGTAGTTCTTTCCGCATATTTCTCGCCCTGCAGCAAATGGTTTCTTCCTGCGAGGCAAGGCGCTAGATTTTCCCCGCCCACTCTCGGCCTTTCAGGTACTTCGCCCCTCCTCCTGACGCCGGTGGGGTGGTTTCTCCCTCCTCCCCCCACGGGTGCTGGATGGTCTCGTCTTCCCCATCCCTAGGCGCTCGGGTACGGTAGCCGCCGCCGAACAGGCCCGGGAGTGGAAAGCGCCCGGGCGGGAAGTGCCGGACGAGCTCACTGCGCGGACGCCGTGGGGGAAGCAGGGGTTCCCGATCCAACTCCCCTCCTAAGTGAAGGTTTCCGCCCCTGGAGAGGAGGCGGCGCCGAGGATCCGCCTTCGTCCACCAGCGGAGTGCGGGCGCCCGGACTGTCCATTGTAGCCTGGAGGGAACAGGGTGGGTGTGGCGGAGCTACCTCCTCTGGGAACACTCTGGGGCCCGACCTCGCTCGCTCATCCCGCAGAAGCTGCAACGCCAAGATGAGCGGAGAGGAGAACCCAGCCAGCAAGCCCACGCCGGTGCAGGACGTTCAGGGCGACGGACGCTGGATGTCCCTGGTGAGCGACCCCGCCCTCGATAGTCGGGAGTCGGGTGTAGGGGCCGGGGTTCAGGAGTTCAGCTGGTTCGCGCGGCTCTCACTACCTGATTGGGAAACTGAGGGCAGTTGGGGTGGTGCTGCCTAAGGAAAGGGGGCCGGGTGGGCCCAGGAGCGAGCGTGCCGTAACTCCCCCTCGTTCGTCCCTGAAGCACCATCGATTCGTGGCTGACAGCAAAGATAAAGAACCCGAAGTCGTCTTCATCGGGGACTCCTTGGTCCAGCTAATGCATCAGTGCGAGGTAAGGCCCGTTTCTCTCCTGCCCCACCCAGGCCTGCCCTCACTGACAAACCTGGACAGACCTCAGGCCAGGCAGGATATGAGGTACCTGAAATAGCCTCAGGTAGCGCCCAGCACCCAGAATTTCAGTGTAAGGTACAACATTCTAATGAAAAGGAAGTGTGTGCCCTGTCTTTGTCGGGCTGGTATCGTAAATAGTGAGACTTAAAATGAAGCTTTCCTGCAAGATTGCCTAAGGTGAGGCTCTTTATTGTTTGCTTAATGGATTTCCACAAAGCTATAGTCCTTTCCATAAAGTGAAGGTCAACTGTAATATCTCTCCACAGAGGGGGCCGTGGTGTAATATCTTTCCACTAAGCAAGGTTAAACTGGTAATGGCTTTCCTCAAAGTGAGGTTTAACATTGTTTCATTGCATAGCTCAAGCAGAGTGGTTTCCATAAAGTGAGTTTTGCTTCTATGGGGTCCCGAGGACATAAATAGATTTGCATAAAGTGAGGTTTGACCATACTGGGGTTTGCTCAAGATGAGATTTAACCAGACTGCTTCCATGAAGAGCAGCTCTTCTGTAATGATATTTGGTTAACATTTGGACCCAGAACAGTGTGTCCATACTGACAACGCCCCTGTGCCTATACCACTTCTTGCCCACAGATCTGGCGGGAGCTCTTCTCTCCTCTGCATGCACTTAACTTTGGCATTGGTGGTGATGGCACACAGCATGTGCTATGGCGGCTGGAGAACGGGGAGCTTGAACACATCCGGCCCAAGGTGAGCAGGGCTTGGGTGGGCAGCTAAAGCCCCCTTAGCCTGCCCCTTCACCACTAATCCATGCCTCTCTTTCCAGATTGTGGTGGTCTGGGTGGGTACGAACAACCATGGGCACACAGCAGAGCAGGTGGTTGGCGGCATCAAGGCCATCGTGCAACTGGTGAACCAGCGTCAGCCCCAGGCTCGGGTCGTGGTGCTGGTGAGAGAGTGGGAGGGCACGGAAGGAAGGGTGGCAGTGTTCTGGGACCTCCTCAGGTGTAGCCACAGCTGTCGTGGTTCTGGGCAGCTTGGCACAGAGCAGTGACTTTCAGGCAAAATTTCACACTGAAGCTTGCTACATCCATCAGAGTAGCTGTGAATAAGGACAGGATCAGGGACCAATTAGGCCCTTTTGCTCAGGGGAGCACTAGAGATTCTGGGAATGTTAAAACTCAAAATATTTAAATAGCCAAAAGTTGTCAGGAGTTCCCAGGATTAATCTAAGCTACATCACTTAAAGCTGGGACTTTTTCTGCTCTAAAAGAGGAATTGACCCTTTGCAATTTTGTCGGCATTTTTATAAGGCTGTTGTTGCTGAATGGAGTCTCAGACAAGGCATCAGGAACCACACTTGCAATCCCCATTTCCCATCTTTGTGTATTCCGCAGCTGGGGACTTCATAGTGGGGGCTGGAGAACAGTTGGGCACAGGGACGCTGGTAGGCCCCAGATTGTGATAGGACATCTCCTGACAACTCTCGGTGCCCTCCTCAGGGCCTGCTTCCAAGGGGCCAGCACCCTAACCCACTTCGTGAGAAAAACCGACAGGTGAATGAGCTGGTACGAGCAGCGTTGGCTGGCCACCCACGGGCCCACTTCCTAGATGCTGACCCTGGCTTTGTGCATTCAGATGGTACCATAAGCCACCATGACATGTACGATTACCTGCATCTGAGCCGCCTGGGCTACACACCTGTCTGCCGGGCTCTGCACTCCCTGCTTTTGCGCCTGCTGGCCCAAGACCAGGGTCAGAGTGTCCCTCCGCCAGAGCCCACACTCTAAGCTTCTGCTTTCCTGCAACATTAAATTCTTGTTCTTCAGTCTCCTGTCCCATTTTCTGCTTTATGGCCAAGCCCATCTGGGTACCTCAACCTCAGCCCTTATCTCTGTGACCCTGCAGTTCTGCAGGATGTTTCTACCAGAGCAGGCATCATCCATCTATCAATGCACTCTGATTCTTGTTGAATATAGTGGATTTATACTGTCATAGTAGTGCTCCAGGCAGGCACTACCAGTCATTTAACCCTAGGTGAAGCCACTTTGCCAACACTACCCTATAGCATTGTCAAGAAAGAATTCTGGGAACATAGTGGCTTCCAATTTTTGCACATGCTCTTCTCCTGGCTGGTGCTCTGGAAGCTTCCTGATCCTACTCCCTGCAGTCATCCCTCCATACAGGGTACAGGTGTCTGTCTCAGACAGGCACTATTCACTGGCTAAGGGGTGTAATACTAACCCAGGTGAGGCTCCTGGCCTGGTTGCAGTGTTGGACCAGGCCACATGGGGGCAGCAGGAGTCACTCTGAGGACAGCACAGTACTTGGGACAGTGCCACCTCTGGCCTCAGACCTCAGGTCCAGCAACTTCAAGGGTCAACTGCCTTTGCATATCTAAGCCTTGCCCAAGCCCATATATGTTGGATGGCAGAGATATCACAACTCCCTGAGCACCAGAACTAGAGGGGCTGCCTGGCCTACAACGGGTCAGGGGCCTCAGGTCATTGAGTCCAGATGGGAGGGAGTTGTCCTGGCACTGCTCTCACCTCACTGGGGAGAAAGTATATAGTCCCATGGCCATCTGGCAACATAACTGGTACAACCAACACCCCTTCTCCCTTTCAAGTGGTCAGCGCACAGGTGTGTTAAACAGCTTTAATCACGGTCATTGTGGCTTCTCGGCACAGTAAGAAATATTGCACATGATCAACATGTTTTGTTCAGGGGATGGGGACAAGGGTAGGGGGAAATCACCTTCTTAGAAAGTACAACCCAAGTTGGGAGGGCAGAGGGGTGGGGAGAGAACCCTCCCCAAGCCTGTGGCAAAGTGCAGGAGCCCCCACCCCCAAACTAACCTGAGTCCAGCCCCTCTGGGGGAAAAAGGGGTGCATGAACTCCCCCTACTCCACAGGCACCTCCCTGTGGCCCAAGGCCCTCACTTCTCTCTGCTTGCAGCCCTCACACGAGCCATTTTGCATAAAGTACAAGTGAAAAGATCTGAAGGTCACACACTCCAGGTTATTATGTACAGGGGCTCGGTAGAGGGAGACTGTGCCCCTGCTTCCCCTCAGCTGCCCCCCATCATTGGGAGGCAGCTGTGGGGGGGGGGCAGGGATACACAGAGGAGCAGGCCTTGTTCCACCCCAAACTGGAAAGGATGAAATGGCTTTATTGGGGAGGAGGTAACCACCCTGCCCCCCCATTCCTGCCATCTACATACTGTCCATGTCCTGAGGGGGGTACTATGGGGTCCTGGGATCTTCTCAGGAACCCCTCACCTGCCTGTGGCAGCTGTGGAGGGACCAGGGGGTGGAGGAGAGGGCTGAGGGGTCCCCTCCCAGGCAGGCTGTCCGGGCCCCGGCTCTGGGGGTGGAGGCAGTGTTGGGGCAGCCTGGGCCATGCCAGAGTCCGAGCCAGGTGAGGTGGGGTCAGGGCCCCCAGCAGGGCTGGGAGTGGGAACAGGGGCAGCAGCAGTGCCAGTGGGGGGCGGTCCAGGGAGGGGGGCTTCAGCTCCGGGGGGCTGCTCCGTGGGAGTGGCTGCCTGCATGATCTTCTGGCGCACCTCACGGATCTTCAACTGCAGACAGACCTTGGAAGGGAAGATGTCTGCGTAGCGGGCCTGGAAGGCTGCCGTGGCCTGGGCTGGGGACAGAAAGACAGTGGGGAGGGGAGAATGAGGTGAGCAGGCAGGTCCCTTCCAAGTGCCCCCCAAAACTCCAAGACATGCTCACCTGATGGGAAAAAGCCATGGTCTTGGAAGAGCTGCATGACCAGGGCTCGGCGCTGGTCCAGGGTGCGCCGCAGTGACGAATATGGCACTTTCTCATATTCCAGCTCCCCGAGCACATCCTCAGCTTCTGTACCTGATAATCAAAGCTACTGCAGCAGCCTGGCCACCTCACTCTCACACCACTGTCCAAGTGTCCAGCCCTCACTGAATTCTATTTCACAGCAGGGTTCAGAGAAGGGACCTACCCAAGGTCACATGGCAGTTTAGGGACCTGTTGGACTCTAGAACCCAACTGTGACCTCGGTGACACCCACCTTCCTCTCGGTGACACCCACCTCACCTATCCCATCTCTAACCCTGTTCCTGAAACCCCATGCCCCTTGCAGGCACTGGCCCCCCACAGCTCCACCAGTCAAGGCACCAGCACCTGTACGGTCAAAGGTGAAGATGTCTCCCTCGCACTTGGCACTCTTGGGGGTATTGGGCTCTGAGCTGCAGCTGGAGCGTCTCCTCATCTTGCGCTTAGGCGAGGTGGGGTCCTCGGGGGCCGAATCCAGGTCTGGTTAAAAGAAGCAGGCTCAGGGGAAGCAGCCCCAATCTGTCCCCCACCAACTCTGGGTGTCCCCTTTGCCTACCAGTGGAATTCTTCCTTTTCTTGCGATAGGAGCCCAGGATGGCCCGGGGTGAGGTGGCCAGAGATTGCAGGGTGGGAGAAGGCAATACCTCTTCAGGCCGAAACTCAGGCAGCTCAGCAAAGCGTTCTTCAAAGTCTACTTCTGACAGGACCCTGCTGGAGGTCGGGCAGGGTCACCTCCTCTGCCCAGCGTTCAGCAGCACACTCTCCCACCAATCCCACAGGCCCCACCAGAGCCCCCAGCCCATGCTCACTTGTCCACAGAGTCAAAGGTCTTCTTCAGGGGCGGGGGCCGCACCTTCACCTTCTTGCCGGTACTGGCTGCCTCCTTGCGCTCAGGGGTGTCCCCAGCTGCCCTGCCACTACTGCCCTCACTGCTGCCACTGCTGCTGCTGGGGGCTGAGGCTGGAGCTGGGGCTGGGCTGGGAGGGGTGGGAGGCTCCCCGCGACTCTCCAGGCCCAGCCCAGGGACGCGCCAGTCTGAAGATGAGCTGGGGAATTTGCTGGCCTGGGATGAGGATAGCACAGAGATGGAGGACACAGTTCAGACTTGCTGGGATAAAACCCAGAAACACAAAAAGACAGATGCTGATTGCCCAAGACAATCTTGGAGAAGGCCCACTGACAGTCAAGCAGGAAGGCAAAGGGGCACAGCTCAGACATGCATGCAAGGAAGAGAGGTGGGAGAGGGAGCCAGACAGTGGGTCAAGGGACAGAACTCAGCAGCAGCAGGAGCTCCCAGACCTGCTAGACACTCACCATAGTCTCAGGGCCCTTGGTGCTGGTCCGCTCCTCAGCAGGCAGGGGTGTGGGGGGGCTGCTCCGGGCAGTGGGAGCCCAGGTCTCTGGGAGAGGTGGAGGGGCCGGCGTTGTAGGCTGCCCCTCAAGCTCAGACTCAGGGGCAGCAGGCTCACGAGCTGAGCCAGGCTCCAAAGGCTGCCGAGGTGCAGGGCCAGGCCGCCCAGGGGCACCTGCCTCAAAGGAGCCCACAGGAATGCTGGCGATGGCTGCCTTCACTTTCTGGGGGGCCTTGGGAGTGGGCCTCTGGGCCTTGGGGGCCACTAAGCTGTAAGTCATGGAGCCTGCTGGTGAGAAGAGCATTTGCTGAGCCAGGCCTGCCTGGAGCCCATTCCCTGGGTCCAACTCACCCGACCCTGGGTTGGCCCAACACCCACCTGTGGCACTAGGGAAAGGGCTGGTAGGGGCTGGGGTGGCAGTGGCAGTAGCAGTGGCAGTGGGAGGGGCCGGTGGACCCTTGGGCAGGATTGTAGCAGTAGGGGGGGTGGTGCTGGTGGCCACAGTGTAGACCAGGCCTGGGGGGGCCTGGGATGGCTGGGCCAGGGGTGCTGACGAGGTGGTTACGGGGCTGCCAGGGTAAAATGCCGTGATGACAGGAGCTCCAGGGGCTGCACAGGTGGGAGGCAGCTGGGGGCTGGGCACAGGTGACACGCCCACCTGGCCAGGAGCCAGCAGTGGGGCTTGGCCTGCAAAGAGGGAAACAGAGGAGAGGCAGGGACCTTAGTTAGGGCCCGAACTGCCTCAGCCCCACCCTGGATCCCCAGCACTGACTGCCAGGTTGCCCCTCACCTGAAAGCAGGGGCTGCACGAAGGCAGGGCCACTGGGCCCCAGGGAGGTGAAGCCTAGGGCTACAGAGCTCGTGGGCCCATATGAGGTGACTGTTCCAGCCTGGCTGGACGCTGGGCTGGTACCCAGAGGCAGCGTATGCCCGCCGGCTGACTGCACATAAGTGATTCTGCCACAAGGAGAGGAAAGGGGGAAGAGTGAAGCAAGCTGGCTCCACCCACCCCTTCCCTGGGCTTGCCTCCAGGTGCGGGCCCAACTGCCATTACCTGGTAGAAGAGGGCAGCAGGACCTTCTGAGGCTGCGAGGTGGGACCAGGGATCGTGGCTGGGCTGAGTGGCGGCACCAGACCACTCGGTGTGCTCACAGGCACTGGAGTCAGCTGGATGATCTGTGAGCAATACCCACAGTCTGCAGTGAGCAGAGGACCCAGAGTGGGGCAGAGGAAGACTAACACCTGGGACGGTGGGTCTCAGCCAACACAGGGAACACAAAACTTGGGATTGAAACAAAAGCAAAGAAGACAACAAGAGATAGAGGAAAAGTAAAAACAAATAAATAAGCCCAGCTGGCTGAGCATCGACCCATGCACCAAGAGGTCGCCAGTTCAATTCCTGGTCAGGGCACAGGCCCAGGTTGTGGGCCCAATCCCCAGTGGGGGCATGCAGGAGGCGGCCAATCGATGTTCTCTCTCATCGATGTTTCCATCTCTCTCCCCCTCTCCCTCCTCTGCCCGACTCTGGGTCCTCTGCTCACTGCTCTCCCTTCCTCTCTCTCAAGTCAATAAAGAAAAAAATAAAAGTATTCTAAAAAGAATTTTAAAAGGAAGTGAGGACACAGAAAAGGAACAAATTGCAAACACTGAGGCCAGAATCAAGAGACACTGAGGAGAAGATGGCACGAGGGTCTCAGAGCCTGACAAAAGGGGGAAAAGAGAGACTGAAGGAAAGGCAAACAGAAACCCTAGGACATGGAGACCAACACCCAACAGAAGAGGAATGAGGATCGTGGGGCCAGAGCCAGGCTGCCCTTACCTTGCTAGGTGGCTGGGCGCCATTCTGCACAGGTACTGAGAAGGGTGGGCTCACCAGGGGCAGCGGCTGGCCGGCTCCTCCACCCCGCACTGACATGCTAGGGGTGGCCAGGGGCACTAGTACCTTCCCAGGTAACAGCTGGGCTGAGCCACCTGATGGTGGGGCCTGCACAGGAGAAACCGACTGGGCTGCAAGAGATAAGAGAGGAGGTTAAAGGGAGCCAAACAGTCCTGTGGCCCCTCTACTTGTGCTGCCCAGTCCAGGCCTCACCTTTAGGGGGCGGGGCAGAGGGTACAGACTGCAGGATGGGGATGCCAGGAGTGGGTGCAGTGGCAGCCAGGACCTTGCTGTTGGTGGAGGTGCCCGGTGGGAGGGTGAAACGAATGCTGGTGGTGGGTGCAGGACCACTGGGAGCCACTGCCTTGGTCCCAGGGGCTGGTGCTGGAGCAGGTGCCACTTGAAGCTGCTGGGGCAGTGTGGGCAGGATGTACTGCACCTGGGTGATTCCCCCAGCCTTGCCCAGGGCACCTGACTGCAGAATACCCAGGGGCACTGGCCCATTGGGACCACTCCCAGCACCTGCTCCTGAGCCTGTAGTGGCCCCAGTGCCAGGGGTCCCTTGGGCAATAAACTGGACAGCAGAGGGTGCAGGGGCTCCATAGCCTGGGGTGCCCACCAGCAGATTGGTGACAGTGGCAGGTGCCTTCCCTACAGCACCCAGTAGGGGCCCAGCCACCAGATGTGGGGCTGGTGAGGTGGCTGTTGCTGACTTCTTGTCCGAATATACTAAACTGACGCCCAGTGGAGAGCCCCCTGGTGCCCGGGATCCAGCGACCACTTCAGTCCTGGCACCTACTGTGTCATTTGGAGATGCTTCCACCCGGCCAGAGGTGGAGAAGGGCTTGGAGGCGATGGGCACAGGAGTGCTGCTGACAGGCCGCACTACGTTGGTGACCATGGTGGCGGCTGGGCGGGACAGGGGAGCTGTTGGGGCCCCATAGGCTAGTGATGAAGCTGGGGCTGAGGACATGCGGGCTCCGCTGCCCTCCCGTTCCTCCTTGTTTGGAGGCAGGACCAGTGTCTGTAGGACACTTCCTCCCCCGCCAGGAGGTGCTGCAATAACTGAGGGGCCAGGTGGCTCCAGGACCCCCCCACTTTCAGGCCTCTTGCGCCGGAAGGTGGTAGGATCCGTTGGGAGAAAGCGGGTGGCCTTGGAAGGTGTTGCTGGGCCCCCAGCCCCAGGGGGTGGGGGCCGTAGTGGGCCTGCTATGCTGCCCTGACCTGACTCCTGGGCCTTGAAGGTCCCTGAGCCCAATGAGAAGGTGGCTGCTGACGCTGAGGAGGATGCAGGTGGGGATGAGGAGGAGGATGTGGGCCCGTAGCCTTTGCTGAAGGCTGCAGGTGGATCCGGGGGCCCTGGGGGCTCAGGGTCCAGTGACGGACGGCAGTGGGTAAAGGGAGAACGAATCACAGGTGAGAACACCTTCCGGCCATAGCTCTGAATGGAAGAAGAGACACAATCTTGTCAGAAAGCCTGGATACCTACACCCTACTTGTCTGTCCCACTGGGTAGCCAGGCCACCTGAAGGCCTTCATTCATCTAGGCTGTGACACAATTCCCCAAAGGACAAATAGCTTCCCTCTCAGGTCTCTATCAACACACAAGAAGGCATCTCCACTCCTAGAACTGAGTGGGCAAGAAAGCGCCAAGTCCCAAGCCCTCACCTTGCTGCCCTCTGGGTCTTCCCCAGAGCTATCTCCGCTCTCGCTGTCAGTTACCCGCTCCTTGCACTTGAGGTCAATGTCTGTGGTGCTGAACCCATCGTCAGCTGAGGAAGAAGGAACAGTGTTGGTAAAAGGGCTGAGTATACGGCCAGAAGGACAGTCTGGAACCTGGGCTCTGGCCTCGGCTCTGCCCCAAGCCAGCAGTGAGTACTGTCCAGCAATGCTGTTCCTCAGCCCAAGGTGTGCCCACCTACCCAAGCGTGCACCTAACACTGTGCCCAATGGCCATGCCTGGGTCCTCCTGGTTGCCTGTCTGACCAGGGACTTCCCAAGGGTAGCCTGAAATGAACATGCCTGCAACCCTAAACAAATATGGAAGGGAAGGCAAAAAAAAGAGGGCAGAGGACCTGGATCCAATCTCTGCCCATCGTCTAAACTTTATCCTGCTGACCCCAGGACAGGATTCTGGGTCCCTGCAACTGCTCACCAATGACATCATCATCCCCTTCCTCCTCACAGATAACCATTCGTTCCTCATCACTGGTCATGTCCTCACTGGCCGCACGCTGGGAACGGGAGGCTCGGGTGGGCAGCAGTGGAGGCCGCCCACTGGCTGCTAGGGCACCTCCCTCTCCAGGGGCTGCAAAGGGGCCTGGAGCCCCATATTGTGTGGAAGGCTTTGGGCCAGCATAGGACGCAGGGCCAGACACCATCTGCAGGGTAGGTGCAGAAAGAGTTCAGCCAGGGCTGTCACCTTGGGCAGCCCTCTCTGCCCGTCTCCCCCACTCCCACAGCCTGCACCCCAGACCTGAGTCAATTCCTGTAGTGCCTGGCTGTCTACTTCTCCACCATCCAGGCTGTGGACCCCACTGTGGGAGAAGGCTCGGGGCCGGGCTGAACCAGGTCCTCCAACTGCGTGCAGACGTTCTGCCCCACAGGAGCCGCTCCCTGGAGCCTTGGGGTCCGAGCTCAAAAGTGTCTGGGCTGCGACAGATAGAAGCTCAGAAGACACTGCAGAGTGAAAGGGGGGGAAGCGCTGCAGAGTCAGGAAGCCTCTTACCAACACCTGGACTAGCCAAGCCACCTGCAATATTTCTAGGTACTGGGCAAAAGCAGGCTGAATTCCTGGGCCACCGAGCAGGAAAGAGATGCCACCCACCAGCCCAGCATCTCCTTCCCATTGATTCCTGCCCTCTGGAGCTGCAAGGAGCAAGTCCATTGCTCCCCAGAAAGCAGCCCTTCTGAGAGTAAGAAAGGTTCGCGTGGTGTTGGCTAATGACCACTGGCCTGTTCCTGCACTGCATCCCTGCCCTCAGAATTGTGAGCCCAGACCCACAGGATTGCTCCAGAAAAGCACCTCAGCACAAAACCAGGCTCACCTGACATCTATAGTCAGTTGAAACATCAATGAGGGGCTTTCAAATGGGACGCAGTCAAGCTGAACTTTAACTTCTGGCTCTGCCAGTTAGTTTCCTATGACTTCAAGAAAGCAATTTTGCCTTTCTGGGCCTCAGTTTACTCATTTGGAAAATGGGATATGCTTCTGAGTACTAGAAATTATACTCCCCTTGGTGCCTGGTGTGTAGTAAATGCTCAGTAAGTGGCAGTTGATAATGAGATTGTTGTTTGGGAATTTGATCTGTCTGGACCTTCCTGGATCCTTCATGACACAAGTCCTAATTCCTTTATAAATAAATGTCCTCACATAAAAGTGACAGGGCAGCCCTGACTAGTGTGGCTCGGTTGCTTGAGTGTCATCCCGTGCACCAAAGGTTGTTGGATCAATTCCTGGTCAGGGTACATGCACAGGGTTGCGAGCTCAATCCCCAGTAGGGGGCATGCAGGAGGCAGCCGGTCAATGTTTCTCTCTCACATTGGTGTTTCCCTCTCTCTCTCTCTCTTCCTTCCTCCCTCTTCAAACATCAATAAAAAAAACATATTTTAAAAAAAAAGTGACAGGAGCTTTTGGGGCAGGGGATGAGCAAGCAAGGGGGTACCAGAGGCTCTCAGGGAGGGAAGTGGTAGGGCAGAAGAGCCAAAGAGCTAACCTCCAGGGGCAGCAGCGGTGCCCGTCTCCGACATGCTCCGCTCCCGCGTCTCCTTGTGCCCTCCTGCCAACCCCAGACTTGTGGGCTTGGCCTCTGAGCTGGATTTCTTTCGGTCCTTGTTGCACCACTTCCAGTCTGGGTGGGCCTTAAAGTGGGCCTCTTTCACCTGGCAGGAGATGGCAGGACCCTTCACTCACCTACCCACCAGAGGAAGCTGGGAATAGCCAAGAGAAGGAGATGTTACCTGGAAGGCCAGGTCGTGGTACTTCTGCTTCTCCTTGGGCCCCAGGGCATACCACCACTCGCCCAGGATCTTGCTGACGGTCCTATTGTCCTGGTTGGGGTGACGCTGATGGACCAGGGCCCGGTGCCGCTTGCTGAAGATCATGAAGGCATTCATAGGCCGCCGGATATGGTCCTTCTCCCTCTACAGCAGACACAGGCCCAAGTGGAATGGTTAGGACCAAGGAGACAGGCTTGGGCAGCCAAAGGATGAGCTGGAGATAGGTGGGGATGAATCACCTTGTTGGGGCTGCGTCCATCCTTCTCCGAAGATGAGTCTCGTTCCTTGGGCAGGGCACTAAGGGACTGGGTCCGGCGTTTTCCAGGTGGCAAAGGCAACTGGATCTCAGGAGACATGATGGAGAGGAAGCTGTGGTGAGAGCAGCAAGGACAGTGAGAACCATGTCTCTGGCCATCCCACCACCCAGTCCCAAGTCTCCGCGACACTCACGCGTCATCATGGTCACTCTCCGTCTCACTGTCCAGCCGGGATTCTCCTGGAGGGCCCGGGGCCTCCTCCTCAGTAGTGGGAGGGGGGCCCTTTCCAGGTTCCACCACCCCCAAAGTGTGGGGGGGTCCAGGCCCTGGGCTCTCAGGGCATGTGGCTCCTCCAGGGGGCCGCCCAGGGTCAGCATTCCCCGTCCCGCCCAGTGGCTGCTCATGAGCAACAGCTGCCGACTCAGCAGGTTCTGGGGACAGAGAGGCAGATCAGAGGGCTCTTGGGCTACCTCAACACTGTCCCATGCCTTCCCACAGCCCCCCAACCCTCACCTTTGCTCTGGTTGGAAGCCACTGGGTGGCTGGCAGGTTGCTGGGCCTCACTTGGCTGCACGGAGGGGTCTGGCTGGCTGGGGGCCAGGAAGGGGACTAAGGAGTGCCAGGGAAACACGGCGACAGAGCGAGGTTCCACATTCGTCCACACTGTGGGAAGGAGCCAGCTGAGCTGTGCAGTAGGAGAGCTTGGCCTTGACCCCCAACCCAAGCTCTTTTCCACCCTGAACAAAGTAGCTCCATCTCTCCTTTACACCCCCTTCTCCTAACTCTGAACCTCTTGACGTCATGCATGTGACATCACTCAGAAAATACTCCTGCCTGAAAGGTTTTTAGATTTATAAAAATGAAAACAGAAGCAGGGAAGGGAAAGAGTCTTCACGCCCCACTCCCTCCCCCACCTCCACCAGCCCGGCCACCAGGGACCAGGCCAGAGGAATGACTGGCTCCTATCACAAACCAGGCCATGTTCGACTGCCATCCTACACTCACAAGGCCCCAGGACCTCAGAAGGCCTGCAGATGCTCCCCTAACCATGCCATGTTGCCAGCACCTGCTGCCATCTGACATAGCCCCTTACCTTGGCCTCATCCTCCTTTTCTCTGAGGCAAATGGCCCTGTCTTCCCTCTCCTCCTCCCTCCATTACCCACAGAGTGTGGAGTCTTGAGTCTCTCTCTGCCTCCCTCCCCCTACCACAGGCCCCAGAGAGTCAGACCTGCCCTTCCTGGACTGGGCACAGGTGGCTACAGCATCTCTCCTCTTACCCCAAAGAGAATCTACTGCCTTTGAAGAGGCCTCCTAGCCTCCCTCCAAAACCCCAAGCTCATCTTTAGGTCATGGCCCAGGCCCCAAGCCCAGAAAGAGGGGAGAGTGCAGTAAACTCCATGGAAAAAAAAGGCAGACAATGGGACAAATGAAGAGAACTGTTACAAGTCTCTGCCCAGGGAAAGCAAGAGTGCCAGGTGTTTCCTTGAGGATATACACAGGAAGGCACTTCCCTCACCAGGGGCTGATCCCAGAGGTCCCACCTTCAGCCCCAAGAGCTGGGTGACTGGCCAGACTCCTGGGGCAGGCGGAGACTAGGAGTGGGCTTCCCTCTCACTGCTGGCTCCCTGGGGGAAGTGGAACCAGCAGTGGAGGCCCCTGCTAGGGGAAGATGATGAAGGGAGGAAGGGAACGCCCTAGCCCTGGTCTCCATCATTCCAGGCCTCCCCCTAACCCAGATCACTCTGACCTAGAGTGATCACCCCCCACGCCTTCAGAAGCCTGGACTAGGGGAACCCTCTGTGAGGCACTGGCCTCGAGACCTGATTCTGTGAAGGGCTGACAAAAGAAAAATAGACATCAAGGCAACCAGAGAGGAACAAGAAAGCCAGCAGTGGAAATGACTCAAGATGCTATGACGACCCTACCCCAGAACCCTGGGGACACAAAAGCCTTCTTGGCCCTTCAATCCCACAGCAGCCCCCAGGGACCTGAACCTGTCCCTCTCTTCACAAAGACCTTTCTCACCAGTGACTCCTCATTTGCTGGGTAAAGAAGGGGCCCAGCAGACAATGAGGGAACGGTCCTTTGGTCCTGCCCCTTCTGAACTCCTCCCAAGTGCACTACCCTCCAGTGTCTTTGGGTCTCTCCCTCTCTCCCCAAAGCTCACCACAAACACTCCAGCCCAACACAGTTCTGAGCAAATAGTGCCTCACTTCCCAAATCCTGTCCTAGTCCTACTACTCAACCGCAGCCCCTTGCCTCTGTCTAGTCCACACCTAGGGCCAGTACATATCAGGCTGCTCCGATTCCAATCCATGCTCCCAAGACAGTTACTCTGCACCCCTCACCTCCAATGACAACGGACCTGTTTCACTCCATCATCTAAACACCACAGCTGCCCCAACTACTCCCCGTTCCCATCACTCTACTACACTCCCACCTGCCTGCCGTCACAAAACCACTTGACCTGCCGTCACTAACCACTACAGCCGAGCTCTGTAACTTTCCCGTTACCCCTTTACTCTGGCTCTACCATTCTCCAGCTATAGCCCCATCACCGATGCTCCGCAGTTAGCACCCCGACACCTTGATCCCTATAGCCCCAGGGCCCAAGAACTACTGACCGAACATTCCGAGGCCACGGGAAGCCGCGCCGGACGCGGGCACCAGGGGCCTGTGGGCTGAGTACATGGTCCGGCGCAGGGGGGCCCGGCCGGGGCTCGCGCCTCCTCAGCGGCCGCCGCCGCTCCGCCCGCCGCCGCCGCTCGGGCCAGGGGACAGCCGGAGGCCGTCGCCGCATGCCCCCCCCGCCCGACCACCCCCCCGCCGGCCGCCCCTCGCGGGGGGTCTCTGCCGGACGCGCCTGCGCAGACCTCCGCCTGCCTCCCGCCGCCCGGGGGGCGGGGGAGTTCAGAGCACTCCGGCCCCGCCCCGCCCCCCGGCGCGCGCGGGGGCCGTCACGGGGCGCGCGGCACGGGGGCCATCGGCACCGCCCCCTCCCTCTCCCTCCTCCCGCACCGAGCCCGACGGGCGGGGCGGGGCGCGGGTGCGCGTGCGCGGGTGCGGCCCCTTTCCTTCTCCGCGCCCTGGCTCGCTCGCTTGCTCGCTCCCTCCCTCGCAGCTCGGGCGGGTAACGGCTCTGGCCCCGCGCGCCCTGGCTGCCAGCGCCGCCGCCCCGCCTTTCTGGGCCCCCGGTCCCCGGCTCAGCACCGGGTAGACCTCCGGCTCTCGGCGGATAGATGGACCAGCGTGCGTGCACCCGTGCGCTCCGAGCGAGCCCCGCGCCGAACCACCGCCGCCTCCCCGCCCCGCCACTACTACGCGCTCCCCTCCCCCCGCCGCGCCTCCCCCCGCCCTTTCCCCGCTTCCCCCGCGGCCTTCCGCGCAAGCCCGGCCCCCCGTGCGTAATCCCATTGGCTGCCGACACCGCGCGCGGGTCAGGCCCCGCCGCGCCCGCCTCCATTGGCCGCCCCGGGGGAACGTCAGTCATATGCAAATGAGGCCAGGGCGGGGCGGGCTCCGGTTGGCCCCAAGCTTCCCGGGGGCGGGACCGCGGGAGGAAAGAGGCAGGACGAGCGCACTGCAGTAAAGGCACCGAGCCAGGGAGGCGGTTTAAGGCTCCGCGCTGCGGAGGCCCCGAGGTTGTATGTGGTGCTGTGTGTGTGTGTCCAGTCCGCGCTCGGAACATGCTCCCGCGCGCTCGGCCCACCTGAGTGCGCACGGCTCTGCAGACAGCCGAACTGCGTGTAGGGTTGGGGGAGCCACCCCTGAGCCCTCACCAACACACACACACCCCCCTCATAGACAGACTTTCCTGCCACACCCATTATTTCACACACACCACGGTCACATGTACCCTGGGTCTTAGGCTTACTGTCACACACAAAGTCACAAACCTGGAACACCTGCTCACATATATGTACTACTCACTTCACGGTCCATCACTCCCCATCTATCGTCATATACACTCATTCTCAGCCATCCTCTTCATGTGACCCATTTTCATACATATGTTGCTATCCATATTTCGCCAATGTATATCCTTATCACACATTCACTGGCCCACATTAATCATTGTACAAACACAACATATCAAATAGACAGATTGATCATGCACACCTCATCACAACCACTGCTTCTCCATCACACACACCCCACATCCCTCCCACACAATCACGCTCTTCTATCTTCACACACTCACACAGCCTTAGAGGTCTCCCATCCCCAACACAGGCTAACTCTCACAGACACCATCATGGTGACCCCACACACTATTATATACACTTACCCTGTTGAGCATTAACTACACCTCAATACCCTGGCCTAGGAAGTATACAGAGTACCATGACCATTCAGTCATTCAGCTCCCCTGCCTGACAGTTGGCAGCCACCCAGGACCCTCTACCTCACAGAACACCACTGTGCGCTGGCCCCACCACCCTAGACTGGGAGCCACCCCTTCCAAGAAAGGGCCATCAGGAAGAAAGGAAACTAACATTGAGGCTGCTATGTGCTGGGAGCTTGTATGCATTATCTTGTTTAGTGAATCCTCACAGGCACTGAGGAGATACACTTTATGATGCCCATTGTTCAAATGAGGCTCAGAGAAATTGAATGAATTGTGCAAGATCATGCAGCCAGACATAACAGCCAAGTGCTCCAACTCAGATGCTCTTCCCACTACTGAAAATGTAACCTCAGGGTGGACACAGGTACAGACTCCCAAACAGAGATCCAGGAATATGGTTTGACTATGATAAAGGTCAGAGGACACACACAGAGACACAGGCAGGGTCTAGGGCTCACTAGGCAGAAATGCAGAGGCCTTGGATCACTCAAAGAGGACTCTGGGGCCACACCCAATAGAGGCAGAGGCCTGGGGTAACACCTGAGCTGCTAAAGGTTGAACAGGCTCAGATGGACCAAGACATCTCCTTCAGAGGTGGGGTGGGAGACTGTAGCAGACAAACTCTTCTCCTGGCCTGCCTCATCCACCGACAGAGCTGAAGGCATGGAGAGGGAGCAAAACAAGGTAACCAGAGCCCAGAGGGAAAAGGGACGTCTGTAGCCCTCTGACCTCCAAGAGACTGCAGGGCCAGACACTTGGCTGTAAGCCTGGAGGGGCCACCAGAGGGACTATTAAGTGACTGCCCCCTCCCTCCGTGTGCAGCCCCAGACTCAGACCCTCCATTACCTCACTGCCCCAGGGACTGCAATGTAAGGCAGAAACCAAGGCTGAAATCAATGTGGCCACTATCTCCCCACCGCTGCCCCCTCCTCTCCCCACCGGTGAGTCACCTATTGGCAAGTTAACCCCTTCCCCACTGCAGTGGAGCCCAGAGACAGAGCTCAGAAGAAACTTGCCCCCAACTCCCCAACTTCCTTTGGGTGAGAAAAAGAGCCAGGCCTGGCACCACAGGGAAAGCAGGCCCCACACATCTGGGAGGGTTGCACATCTGGTAGAAGACACAGTGCCCACATAGGAGGGATGGGAAGAGGCCCCTTACAGGGTACAGTACAGCCAAGTGGGGGCCCAGCCTGGCAGGGAGGGGCCGGAATCCAGGCAGGATGGGCCCCCTTGCCCTGGGCACTGGGCCAGCCCTATACTTAGCTTCCATTGTTCAGAGTGAAGGAACCCTGGGTGGGGGTGATTAGGAGTGGA